CTTTTAACAAAAAAAACAAATTTCACTGTTTTTTGATCCTGACACAAAATGACCAGCTAACATTAATTAATTGACTAATCATATCTGCAGCACATGTGAAGGTGTGAATGAGTACTAGTCAGGTAAAATCACTATCATACTAATTAGATCGTAAGAGCAGACTGATTGATATAAAAAGGAGGGAAGAAGCGCTTCCAATCGTTGTGTTCTTGTTAGCAATGGTTACCTCCAAAGAAACACGTGCAGCCATCTTCGCGTTGCATCAAACTGCAGTGAGGAAGTCTTCAGGACGTCCCAGAGTGTCCAGCAAGCACCAGGACCGTCTCCTCCTGAGGAGTCAGCAGGAATCGTGTCACTCACCACCAGTGCAGAGCTTGCTCTGGAATGGCAGCAGGTTGGTGTGAGAGCATCTGCAAGCACAGTGAGGCCAAGACTTTTGGACAACGGCCTGGTGTCAAGAAGGGCAACAAAGAAGCCACTTCTCTCAAAGAAAAACATCAAGGACGGACTGGAATTCTGCAGGAAGCACAAGGATTGGACAGCAGAAGACTGGTGCAAAGTTATTTTCTCTGATGAAGCTCCCTTCCGACCGATTTGGGACATCTGGAAAATCGATTGTTCGGAGAAGAAAAGGTGAACGCTACCATGAGTCCTGTGTTGTGCCAACAGTGAAGCATCCTGAGACCATCCATGTGTGGGGTTGCTTTTCAACCGAGGGAGTGGGCTCTCTCATAATTCTGCCCAAAAACACTGCCATGAATAAAGAACGGTATCAAAACGTCCTGCAAGAGCGACTTCTTCCGACGATCCATGAGCAATTTAGTGATAATCCGTGCATTTTCCACAGAGCACCATGTCACAAAGCAAAAGTGATAAAGAAGTGGCTCGAAGATCATTACATTGAAATTTTGGATCCGTGGCCAGGCAACTCCCCAGATCTCAATCCCATAGAGAACCTGTGGTCAGTCCTCAAAAGGCGAGGACTCAGAAGCCCACAAATTGTGATCAACTCCGAGAACTAATAAGGAAACAATGGATCACCATCAATCAAGATTTGGCCCAGAAGCTAATGTCCAGCATGCCAGAGCGAATTGCAGAGGTTATGAAGAACAAGGGTCAACACTGTAAAATTATATTTTTTGCCAATAAAAGCCTTTAAAACTTATGATATGCTTATCATTGTTTTTCAGTATACCATAGAAACATGTGGAAAAATAATCTACAAATACTGAATCAGCAAATTTTGCAAAACACAAAATGTATGTCACAGCCAAAGCTTTTGGCCATGACTGTATATTTAGGAATTGCACAACACTGTTTGTGCTGCATGTTTTGGATTTACTAAAAAAAAAAAAGGTGAGAATGAGTCAATTGTTTGTTAATCAGACTAGACTGGTCACATTGTATGTTTCTGATTCACTTACAAGAACCAGTTATTTCAAACTCTTCATTAAAAGAACCAAAGTCATCCATTTCAAGAATGAGACTACACTGGTTGTGCTGTATGTTTTTGATTCACCACAAAGAATGTGTTCATAAGAATCATTTGTTTATTAATCAGACTACATTGGTTTAACTATATGTTTTGAATTCAGTAAAAAAGAACTGGTTCATAAGAGTTATTTATTCCTTAATCATATTACACTAGTCGCACTCATTGTATTTGATTAACTATAAAGATCCAGCTCATAATAGTCATTTGTTTGTAAATTGGACAACCCTGTTCGTCTCATAAGTCTTGAATTCACTAAAAAGAACAGGTTCGTAAGAGTAATTTGTTCATGAATTGACTACAAATTGGTCATTCTCTAAAAAGAGCCATCTTATAAGGATGTTTGTGGACTACGCTGGTCTCGTTGTACATTTTGTTTTTGCATGCAGCCCATGAAGATACAACTCAATACACTGACACAGGGAACCTTCTAACTTGGTACATGATGAAAACATTAATATTAAAATTCTTGCTCCTCTCACCTGTTCTCGCCACCTGTGCGAATGGGTGGTTTGCCTGGTGGTGGTCGTGGAATAAATCGTGCAGACAGCTGATCCGGCACTAGTGTGGGGCTTATGGGTCTTGGTATTTTACTCTTGCTCGACACAGGTCCTGAGGAGGAAGATAGAGAGAGTGGCTCCTCCGCCTGCCAGTCTGACCCTCGAGAACCGGTGGGGAAGGTGAACCTGTCACGCAGCAGCGCTGAGGGGAAGTGCTCACATGATAGCGACAGAGATGGAGAAAGTGGAGCCGGAAACCCCCTACGGTTTGGAGAGTCTGGGTCACGGACGGGGATGCGGCTGGCTCGGGGTGAGAGTTCACGAGGTGATGCTGGAGCTGCATCAACACTGTGTCCAGTCATCTCACCCTGGTTGGGAGTTGAAGAAGGCCCACCGTCAGGACAGCCAGAGTCACTCTCCACATCCTTGTCAGAGGCCTTGACAGAGATAATGTTTTCATCTGGCTTGTTAGGGCTTTTAGAGGGTGAAATAGCTGGCACGTGGTCAGGCTGAGAGTCGTCTCCTGTCTTCTGCTGAGGCTGAACGGGCTGTAGCACTGAATTGGATGACTGTGAAGGGAATAACATTAAGACAGATACATACAAGGACATTATTAATAGAGCTCTGCGGGGAAAATCTCTTATACATCTGTTTTTCTTCATGGTACCATCATCTGCTTGGCCAAAAAGTTTCTGAGCTTGGTGCTTTGTGTCAGCTTCTCTTTCGGTCTATTTATGATTTTGATATACAGTAATCCCAAAATCTGAGACATAGTGATGTTGCAGTGAAACCACTGCAATGCACCCATAAACGATCACTGCTTACTGCTACAGTTTTCATTATACAATCAAACATATTTTATGACATAATTACAGTATTAGGTTAAAATTAATGACAAGGAATGTTGTCATAATATAGGCCTAATTGTTGTCTCACAATTCCTGTATATCTCAGAATGTGATCTTATTTGTTTAGAAATGCTATTACAGCTACTTTAGAATGTAGCATGAGATACTGACCTGCTCAAGATGAGTCCTGCTGAGGACCACTGACACAGGCTGTACTGTGGGCAGTCTTCTTAATCCAGACAAGCCTATTATGCCAGGCAAACCCGGTAGTCTGGCGAATGGAGGTCCAGTGTGGCAGACGGCTGTGTGGAATTCTGCTGAAC